GTGAACTCTGTCGTGCAAGAAAACCCGACGTAAAGCATCCACCTTATCGGTCCGCTAAATAAAAATACAAATATCAGTAAATAACAGACATGATATTTAAACAGTGAAAACAAGATAAATATATTTCAAACTTTCAACCAAAGACAAAACAAAGACAAATACTAACTTCACAGTGTTAAGTAAAAGTTTAGCAGTTTTGGCAGCCGAATAAATTTACTAAGCAATCTAAGTGAAATGGTTAATTTAAGTGAAATTACGAGTAAATTTATCATCAAGTTAAATATGGAAAATCTTAAACTTACCTCGTTGCGTAGAGTATGAACCTCATTCTGCAACGACTACCATCTCACGTAGAGCGGCAACCTCACCACGTAAAGTAGACACCTCCACACGCCATGCACCATCGTTATCGCGTAGAGTACCGATATCCTCACGCAAGGCATTGACCTCATCACGTAACTCCCTTGACTCATCCCGTGGAGGTGGAGAACAGGGATAGAAGTCATGGCATCTTTGTCGTCGCCTATCATGAGGTGATGGTGGAGAAGAGACTCGATGATGTGACGGGATAGGTGATGGCTCTCGTTGTAGAGGTGTATAGTCGGGTCGATCAGGTGATGGCTCTCGAAGTGAGGAAGTGGAGGCTGCTCATCATTCGTGCCATCAAAAAAACGCTGACTAGCTTTCCACCATCAGTGGCAAGCTCAGCCTCCGTGGGGTCAGTCTCATTAATGGAGTGTTGGCCTCCTAATATAAAAACTAAAACAAAGTTAACGTCTACTATTAATAACTTGTTTATATATGATAGTATTGTGTTAACTTACATTATTTATTGTCGCATATGGTATTAAGTCTTCCCAATCCAACATACGTTTCCTCTTCCAGGAAATAGCCCTAGGAATATCATCTGAGGATTTTAATGCATATGTCCGCATGCTGGGGAAAACCTCGAATATCCAAATCTACAACAATAATAACAAACATAGTAATTGTTAAATAATTAATTATAATTTGAAAACATTATATAGAAATTCTTACCTTAAAGGCCCAAACAAAGCCTGACAAAGTGTATTTCGACCCATCGCCCCGCAAACTTTTGCGGTCATCAAAGGCAGACGACAACTTAGTCCAGGTAGCTTTCCATATATACGAACCCCACGGAAACAGATTCCATGCATTTAGGTCCTCTACAATATTAGCTCCTGAGGAATAGGTTGTGCCTCTCTACCTAGAAAGCCGGCATACAAAAGTAGTAGAAGGCATACTCGGACAACATCGACGTCATTCATCCGAGTAAAACCATATTTCTTATTAAACAATTTCTTCATGTCGTCGACGTGTAAGTTCGGCTTCTCTATTGACTCATCAGGAAAAACCCTGGATAACCATGATGGGCGGGTGATATGACGAGTGTACCGGCCTACATCATCGTGTCCGAATCGTAGACCAGTGATTAAGCAGAACTCCTTCCGCCCAAAACAAGTATACGCCGGTGGAAATGAAACCATATCTCTTCCTCACCACGTGTATACTGTCGGGTAGATCGCTAGTCATGGTCTGAAGCCACAAATGGTCAAACTAGCATCTCCACCCGGATGCTGTACTCTCAGCCATGGCCCGAAGCATGTTTCTTCAAACAATTTTCTTTGTGCAGTGAAAGCTTCGAAGCAATTGTAGTGGCTAGGCTAACTTTATTCCTTAATGTCAATGAAGCCGAAAAAATTTCTACAAAAAACAATAAACATACCAAGTTAGATATACCAAAAATTACACTGTCAAGATATACCAAAACAAAACAATAAACATAAATAGTAGTTTATTCTTGAAACTAAAATTTGCAACACTGTTTCTGTCTTTTGGTTGAAATGAAAATCGCAACGAGATAATAGAATCGCAACGCGGAAATGACTATCGCAACGAGATATTCTTGAAACTAAAATTTGCAACACTGTTTCTGTCTTTTGGTTGAAATGAAAATCGCAAACGATAATAGAATCGCAACGCGGAAATGACTATCGCAACGAGAGAATCGCACGCGAATGACTATCGCAACCAGACAATCGCAACGCGAATGAAATCGCAACCGAAATTAAAATCGCAACGCGAAATGAAAATCGCAACGCGAAATGAAAATCGCAATGCGATTTTGGTTTCGCGTTGCGATTTTATTCGCGTTGCGATTATCTCGTTGCGATAGTCATTTCCGCGTTGCGATTCTCATTCTCGAAACTATTCTTCTTCTGCATTACTTCAACCCAAAAGACAAGCAAAGACAAATACTAACTTCACAGGCTAAACAGTTTAGCAGTATTGGCAGCAATCGAATGAATTTAATAAGAAATCTAAGTGAAATGGTTAATCTATTATTGAAATTACCAGTAAACTTATCATCAATCTCAATATGAAAAACCTAAAATAATGCAAAAATTTCAAAATAAAAATAAAAAAAACTAACCCTCGGAGGTTGATTTTCCATTTATGAATGATTGTGAGGGATTTTTTGACTATGAATGGTTGTGAGGATTTCGCCGGCGATGGGACGGAAATCTTCGGAGATGGGGACGATTTCGCCGTAGAGAGTGAGAGATGGAGATGGGACTGAGTGTTGTGTTTTTGGGTTTGAGTTATGAGTTGCGATTACTGTGGACGATTCATTTTCCGATTTATAAGAAAAAATACGTGTTTGGAATTTGAAAAAAAAAATACGCGTTAATACGAATGGCGCTAAGTAAATCGCGCGAAAGTCAGTATCGTGTTGCGAAAGTAAGTATCTCGTTGCGATGGATCATTTGTACGGACATCGGGGAAGAGGTTAGAGAGATGGAAGGTTTTTTTTTTATAAGAGTAAAAAGGCAGGGCTCTATATTAACTAACAAGAGAGAGAGAGGACCTAATTTGAACAATTTTTAGTTGGGATTGGAGGAATTTGGTTGAGCTGAAACGTGAGAAGGCGAAGATGTAATGAAAGAGACCAACTCCAAGAATGTTTCGACTTTTTTAGTTTAGGATTTGGTTGGACTCATCAATCCACAACATTAGTAAGGCTCTCTTTCTATGATGTTTTTTCAAGAATTAGTTTTAAAATAGAAATCTCTATAGGTTTCGATTGAGTATATCGTCTATAAGAATCTTTGAATATTATTATTAATCTTTTAAATAATATTATATTATAATCACTCTATACTAATAAAAAAAAGATAATATTCATTTTCTTCTATTTATATTATCAATTTTTTAATATTTTAAAAAACAATGAAAAAATTAAATATTCTATCTATTTAAAAATATTTTTTTGATAATGATTAAATTTTTTAAATTTTAAACTGAACAATCTAAAAAAATTAAAACCATTTTTGAAAGTACTTATTTTCTTAATTTTTAAAGTAATGCCAAAACGATCTTAATAATTTAATTTCTATCTCCGTTTATTGTTTGTTAGTAATTTAGAATAGGTTTCGATTGAGTATATCGTCTATAAGAATCTTTGAATATTTATTATTAATCTTTTAAATAATATACATTATAATCACTCTATACTAAAAAAAAATATTCATTTTCTTCTATTTATATTATCAATTTTTTAATTTTAAAAACAATGAAAAAATTAAATATTCTATCTATTTAAAAATATTTTTTTGATAATGATTAAATTTTTTAAATTTTAAACTGAACAATCTAAAAAAAATTAAGACCATTTTTGAAAAGTACTTATTTATCTTAATTTTTAAAAGTAATGCCAAAACGATCTTAATAATTTAATTTCTATCTCCGTTTATTGTTTATGTTAGTAATTTAGAATTGTTTTTTAATAATAATTTATCCTTTTTAAATTTAAATTGGTTTTTTTTTCAGAATATAGTTATATTATCAGTTTAACAATATACTCCATATGTGTTGATAACCTAAATCATTTATAAATGAAATAAGAAGTGTTTGTAAGTATACATTTAGACTATTAATTTTGATCTAAAAGCCTGCTACAAATATAGAAGGGTTTGAATAAATATAGTATACAAAATAAAAAGTTAGGTTTATGTTTATATATATATAAATTAGATTTGTTTAAAATATGATTAGGTTTAGAACTCTGTCTTTCCAGATTTAAATTCGATTTAAATTGGACTATTTTTAAAAATTAAAATAATTAAATATATTATTTTTAAAATGAGTTAACCAAAAATAAATTTGAATTAGCTATATATAAATATAGACGAACTTTAATAAAATTTTAAATTAATTTTTGAAAAGGATTGAACTTGAATACACACAAAGTATTACAATAATATGCGTAAATTATTCAGCACAACCCAAAGAATATCCCTACTTTTAAATTAGGGGATGTTTGTTTGCCTCTTAATATAATCATTCAGCGCTGAATGTTGAACCGTTCAACATTCAACGCGTTTGTTTCGCACCTCTGAATGATTCAATGCTGACTGATTCAGTAAAACAATACTGAATGATTCAACACAGAAGTACATTCTGAATGATTCAGAGTCATTATCAAACAACATGTCACATTCAGAGCTAATTCATACAGAACCTCTGAATCATTCAACATTTGAATCATTCAACGCTTAATCATTCTGAAGTAAACAAACAGCCCCTTAGTCGGATCACCAAAAGGTATTTCCAAATTCATTTAGATCATCGAGTAAAGTTCTATCACATCGGCTCGAAAACTCGAGTTATCGAGCGACTTAAAATTGATAGTTCGAATGTCCGGTTCGAAAATCATATGCCTAAAAAAGTCAATTTTTTAGTTAGTACTTGAACTTAAACATGGATGATTGAACAAGAGTTCATAAACCTTATCAAACAAATTCAAAGCAGTTTAACTTTAGAGTTAAACTAAAGCTTGTTACAACTTTAACATCTGTCAGATTCAATGACACCAGTTTTACAATGCTTCCACCACGCTTCAATGTGATGCTACTTTCTAGTGACAAAACGATCATGCAAAAATGAAGCACAATTTAAAAATCAGTCGCATATAAAGGGATTTTGAAAACTACAAATTGATATTGAAAACCAGACTTGTAAATATATATATAGTTCTCTCACACTTGAAGAAACATTGATCATATCATAGCAGCCTGAAATATTTCGAAATCGAGAACTTAGAGCTAAGAGAATGCTTTCTCTATCTTTAGACTAAGGAATAGAAATGAAATCAATGCAACCAAAATTGCAACAAGCATGATGACCACCATTGTCTGCAACGTGACGGCCGGGCTCAAGAAGAACACAACTGCAATGGCGGAACTCTGCCACACCTTCAGCTGCGCAAATGCTCCTTCCTGTTTTCAGAATAAATATTCTTTTTTGATTACAGATTTCAAGTCCATAATCTAACTGTACCTTTTTTTTTTGTCTAACAGAGTGGTTTGCACTAGGGAAATGTTTAGACCGAACATATATACTTGTCTTGTGTAAACATTGAATAATTTGTACCGTGTCATGCTTAAAATGTAGTGCAAGCAAAGCACTGAGCTGTGTATTCAAAACCCCATCACCGATGCCCAGTACAGCTGCCATGAGAAGAGGGTATAAAATGCCGAGCACTCCACTAGTTGCGCTACGTTGTAACATTATAGAAAGAGTAAGTAGGATAGAGAACGGAAACAACTGGAAGTTTAATACCGATAATCTACACGACTGCATTGCTCTAACCTGTATTTTAGCCAAAGCCAGAGGAATATCAATGCCTGAAAAAATACTCCACCGCAGGCAATGATAGTTATTGACTTGATTCCAGATGTGAGTCGACCAGCTGCCAGCGAACACTATAAGAAGGTATTACCAATAAAATGGGATTAGATAATAAATCGAGTGAGCTACCAGTGCTTAATGTATTGATATCAAGATCTCACTGACTTTGTAAAACTAAAGTGAGCACTGCCAATATACTATGATACAGAACTTACATGATTAAGTAAAATAAATTCTCTCTTACTGCAGACAATGGATAATCATCTATGAAAAAGAAAAACATGGCTACTTTCCTATTACCAAGTGTCTTGATAAAAAAATCTGATGGGTTTTGGGAAATTCTAAATCTTTCACAACTTTAGGTGATGGTTTACTACGAATCTAGACCATAAAGACCTAAGTTTTGATGCAGTTTGTTTTCAAGTAGAAATAATTGTTAGAAACCTGTAATCATCTCTGCATTTTAAATACTTACGATTGCATCAAAAGCACCATAAACTGCCATTGCACCACCCACACCAGCCTCTCCAAGAATTGGGTTAACAATATCCTTAGTGTAATTAGCCCTAAAATGGAAAAATATATCTAATTAAGAATAGAGGTGAAAAGCTTTCTTGAATAAGGCAAGGCTTGAAACATTTTTTTGCAGTAATGGCCTCAGGAAGCCATACCATACAAAAGCTTGCTGTAATCCTGAATAAGCAATAAGAGGAATGACCAACAGAATCCGTATGTCGAGCAAGGGAAGGATAACTGACTTCAACCGAGAAGCCACAGCAGAATAAAAACTGACAGATGAATCTTCTGATACCTTCGCTTCTTTGTCATTGGTTTTACATATGAAACACATGAGAATTGTACCTAATGTCATGCTACAAAGAAACACGATGAACAGCAAAGTCGTGCTGCTGGTGCTGGTACTTCCTTCCTGCAGTTTAAGAATAACCTGTCAGTAGTTTAAACATTTTGAAAATTGGTAAAAGAAAAAACCCACTAAGCCTAAGCCAAACAATCCATGCTATAAAACATTCGTCCAGAACATATCAGTTCTTGAAAGAGAAAATTAAGTGATAAAACCAAACATATACGGAATATTGCAGAAAGCTGGAATGATTTTTCCACCCTATATTAAGGATAACACTGTCATTCTAGAGCACAAAAAGAATAAAAGAGGAAAAACAATTTGTAGTAGAGGCAACATATACCATTCCCTTTGGTAGAACTGCAAGTGTGATAAGATTTCCAACTAACTGCAAAATTTACGAAACCAAATTTTAGTATAAGATTAATGTTTAGCACTTAAACCTCCTCGTAGCAAGTTAAAGACATCCTAAGAAAAAATGTTTTTCAGACTAAAGAATTAGGAAATGACTGTATTGTCACAGCAAAGATCAATAGTCACCTGGTGAAGAGCAAAGACTGCCCAAAATTCTCCATTGAAGTTACCAATCACAGTTCCTTCATGTAATTCGGTATCTCTAGCATGACTGCGAGCAATCGAAGTAAGATATGTCCCCTAACAAAACCAAATTGGTCAAGGAATGGAGATCAGATCAATCAATAACCATCACTAAACAATATTAATGAACTTAATAAGCCTAAATTACACATATACCTCCCCGACCCATATTATTGAAGCCGCAAAACCCATATACACAGAAACTGGAATCATAGTATACCTACAACGAGAATAAAAGATGTTCAGTATGAAAGTTCCATTACAACATGATTAATACATAGTATGGAAACATCTAGTACAATTTGAAAGTTCCACACACAAACTAATTTTCTTTCAGTTTCGAATCCATTAACTTTGAAATTCAGCAAGCGAGTAAACGAACAGTAATTACTAATTACCATGTAGGCTTCAAGTTTGCAGCTATGTACAACCAATAACCCGTAGTCCCCAGAACAACAGCATTTTTCGACCCCAGTAATCTAACCACCAACGAAGCAAACAACGAGAAAAACGCAAAAGATACATAAAGAATCCCAAGCGACACCGTTCCTAAGTTTCCTTCCTGCAAAAGAACCCCGCCAATGAATAAATATTTCAAACTTTTTAAATTTCAATAATTCAGGAAATTTGTATAATCTCTTAAATTTCCCAGAATTCCAAATCGCAGTAAACTTTCTAAGAAACTAAATAGCTCGTTTGAATTCAATTGAATGAATAAACATGAAAAAGGAAAAGTAACTCACGGAATTAACAGTAGTTTCCAAATTCTGAGCAGCTCCGTAAGCAAGGAAGACCAACAAGAACGCAACGCTCAAAATATGAACGTCCCTCGTCCGATTCTTGGGAGTTTCACTTTCCGAAAAATCACCAACCAGTGGCGTCTCTTCGTCTCGAGTATCCATTGATTCTATGGCCATTTGAGTAGTAATTTTAGCTCCACCCGATTTTAAAAACCTCTGGGAATTCGAGGTGGGGAGAGAGATTCAAGAGAGTGAAGTCAAAACGGGAAGAGAGCCGGCTTGAAGCCTGAGGAGTAAAGGACATATGGGAAAATCTATAAATTTTGGATTGTTAATTAAAGAATTGGGGATAAGGGGGCCACCGGTTGGCTAGAAATTGTGGGAGATGAAACAAAAATGATTAGGAATCTGAATATTCTAATCCATTACTTTGGTTTCGTATCTTTTCGAAAGGAATCAAAAAAGTCTTCGAATTAATCGATGATGATGAAACCTGACGGAGAGTTGGACTGTCGAACGGCGATGGAAGCATAATCCACGAAAAACAAATATTAGTTTTTTAACCGAGCAGTATTTTATTCATTTTAAAAGTAAATAAATAATGGGTCAATTACAATAACGCTATCTTTTATTTAAGTTTTTATTTATTTCTGGTCACTAATATTGGAATAAATATATATATATATATATTTTTATTTTTATTATCAATTTGATACAATTTGATCATTAATATCTTAATTTGATATTTTGATGTAACATATTAATAAAAATAATTTATTTATATTTAATCTTTAAATTTTTAAAAGTTGATTTTCATCCTAAAAGAAAAAAAGACATTTTTCAATCTCTATAACTCAAACCTAAGATATATTTGACATGTTGGTTTTTTAATTGAAGGTTGTGAAATGGAGCAAAATGCAATTTAGGTTGAACAATCAATTACTAATGTCAAAATCTGGATATGTAACATTTTTACAAATTAAAATTTGACATGATCTTAGTTTTTAAGGGTGCAAGGCGAGACGTAAAAGGTCTCTGGAGTCTAGGCGCAAAACGCATGTGCGTTCGTGTAACCTTCTAGACCCAACCTATATGTTACGACTAGATCTTGTGGATTATATTGAAATTTCAAAAACATTCTTTAATATTTTAAAGTCATGGTATTACCCAAATCAGTAAGATAAAAGTTGAATATCACGATAAATATCAAATCATAATTAAGTAGCATCAAAGTAATTTGTACTACAACAGTAAAGATAATAAACGTCAGAAATCATATAAATCAAAATACAACCACATGTCACCAAATAATAGCAGTTCAGAAGATAAATAATTAGTACAAAAAGATATTGTAGGTGATGTGTCGATCTTCCAAATCACGGGTGTCTATCCAAAAGTATCTAAAAAGGAAAAAAGGTTGGGGAGTGAGCTAAGGAGCTCAGTGTGTCCCAATAGTGCAAATAAAACGTCGTATAAAAGTATTCAAAAAAATAATTCGGTAAAGTATCATAAAGTAATCAATGAGGTTTATATTTTAAAATTCATATATACCCTCCTCTCGTATACCGTAATGCAGTCCCCCAAAACTGCATCCAAAAGGACTTACCCTATACTCGTTGGGTATAAAAGCCAACCTAAGGGAACACCTTCGATAATAAGGACTTACACTAACCGAAGCGTAGGAGCCCACCTGAGGGTAGTACCCCAGGCCATAAGGTCTTACCTAATGCACAAAGCAGAGAAATCATCCTAAGGAAGTACCTTAGGGTCTTATCCTAGGTCCGGTGGGCCTAGGAGCTCACCCAAGGATTACATTAGGTCAATTAGGATTTACCAACTTGATCAGAGTTGCACCTCAAAGACTCCATGTAACATCCCAAAAGTACCCCAGTAAAGCAGTTCATAAAGTATCAATACATACAGTAAATCATAAATCATGCATAATCATTTCTCAGTAAAACAAGTAACCAAAGAACATGTATCAGACAAACATATTTAATGATCAGTAAAACAAGAATTAGAAATCAAGATTTAAAATCAGACAATTCATTTATATCTCAAAACAGTAAAGCAATTATGTATAGCAACTATATAGCACACAGGGAACACACCTTGTAAAATGAGATCAGTCAGGGAGTCTACTGAGCACCTATCTCTCCACGCTCTACAACAGTGCTCAAACCTAAATCATAATAAAATAGAGTTACAATCGAAATAACATTTTTAATCTAAGTATTTATAAGGTTCACGGACCATACGAGTAATCACTGGTTCACGGGGTCAAACGGATCGAGAGGAACTGGGTCGAGCTGTCGAACGGTCGGGAGAGTTATGAGTACCTTTAATAAACAATATCTTAAATCAATCATTGCCTTTAATTTAATTGTGCTTAAATATAATACTTAAATATATATGCATGCTCGAGTTTAACAATCAATTTAGAGGCTTTCAGGTTCGAATTTGGAAAAACATGTAACATCCTAAATCAGGGTCAGTGACTAAATTAAAAATTTTAAAAATTATGTGCTCGATTTCGAAATAAGTTAAAAGTTCATGGATTTAATTGAAGAAAGTTGATGTTGGATTTAATTGTAAAGTTTGGAAATAACAAGGGTATTATGGTCTTTTCTAAGAGAAGATTTTTATTCTCTTTTAAGGGATATAAAAACGTGGGAAATGAGATAATTTCTCCAGAGTATTCTTCAGTCTTCTTCTTCCTCCTCTCCACTGTGAAGCCTTGTATAAGGTAAGTGGGTCTTCAGTTGGTTAATTCTTTCATTTTAAAGCTTGTTTTGATTCTTGGGATGTTAAGAAAGATTAAGGAAAGCTTTAGGTGGCTTAAAACTCAAAGATTAGCAAGTTATGAAAGTGGGTCTTCCAGTTGGTTAATTCTTTCATTTTAAAGCTTGTTTTGATTCTTGGGGTTAAGAAAGATTAAGGAAGCTTTAGGTGGCTTAAAACTCAAAGATTAGCAGTTATGAGAAATAAGAAAAATAAGTTTTAAGTAAATTTTTGAAAAAGAAGGAGTTAATAGATTTTTGAGTTTAATTTGACTTGTCAAGGGTTAAATAAGAGATATGAAGTGATAGAATGAGTTTTAGAACATGTTGGAAATTTAGTGATTCTTGAATGCCATGTAAATGATAGAATTTTGAGTTTAAAGAAGTGATTATGGAGTAGAAATGAGTTTAAGTATGTGTATGAAAGTTAGGAATATTAAAGGGAGTGAAGTATGAAGTGTTGAGCTGAAAATGAAGTCTGATGAGACACATACTTGATCCCTAGTATATGTATATGATTCTTAAGAAATGATATGTGGTCCTTATGGATATTTTTATATGGCACTACGGTGCAATTCTACGCGGCACTCCAGTGCAATTATATGTGGCACTTCGGTGCAATTATATGAGCTATGGTGATAGCATTAGTGCACATCCTCTATGTACTCGCATATCTTTAGTTCTCACATGAGTATCATGGGCTATTAAATAGATAATATTAATAAAGTGATATGATAATATGTTTGTTTCCTTGTGGAATTTCATGTGTGATATTAATTGTACAAATGGTAACTTATAAGACCATATGATGAAAGGAATCGATGATAGTTATAAAATAAGAAAGAAATGAAGATGATAATATAATTTGGGTGTACGTGTTTTATGATAGTATATATATATATAGTGTACATGACATGATATGTATATGTACAATTGGTTATGGTATATGTTATATGATATGGACATAAGAGATCATAGGAACATGAGATAAGAGATATGAATGATAATGACAGATATGTATGCATATTGGTTACATGTAAAAGTATGAGTGGTATGAAATGATAGTAGTAATTGTTTAGGTATGATTATAGTTATCGTTTACCTTATATTTATATGCCTCACTAAGTCTTGACTTAGCGTGTAAGTGATTTACACGTAGGTTTCGAGAAGAGTAAAGAGCAATGTGGAGCCAAGACAGGTCAGTTCTTCTTACTAAAGGTCAGATCAGAAAAGATGTGAAAATATATTTTATATAAAGTTCTAGTTGGCATGTTTTCAAAGAATCTATTGTTTAAGCTATGAACATTTTATAAATGTTTCGAATAGTTATATGTAAATAATAAGTGAAAGATACATGCTCTGATTGGTTTTGTAATAATGAAAATGTCTTTTATGTAAATGAGTCATTTATATGTTATAAAAGTTTTAAATTACTCACTATTTTATACAAGTACATGTTTTAAAAAGGTCAAGGTGACACCTCGGATTCGTATCCGGGTCAGATACGGGTTGGGGTGTTACAAAACATGCTTTGGATTCGAACTCAAGACGTCAAAAAACATAAAATGTGAATGTTTGAAAATTTTGACTTTTTGGTCAAAGTCATCAATTAGGTCAATGATTGATAATCTGATTTGGTCAAAGTCAATGGGTTGACTCATTTGATTCAGTTCAAATTAATTCAGTTTGATTGGACAGTTCGGTCTAACTGGACCAGTTCTAGAAGGCTCCTAAACCGACCGAGAAGCCCAACGCGCACTAGTAACGCGTGGCAGCGGCGATAGGGGATGTTGAGGATGGAAGATCACTCCACAAGCTATAACTTAACATTTCTAACCTAATTTAACTCAAAATCAAACCAATATATCAAAGAAAAATAAAGATAAGGTGACCGAAAGTCTTATCCATGGCGGATGACGAAGTAGTGACAGATAATCGATGAACCCACCTAGGTTTTGTTCAGATTTGAGTGAGGGATGTAACAGTGAGTACGGTGAGCAACAACGCCTACTAGATCGGTTAAAATTGATGAAAATAGTGGTGGTTATAAGGTTCTCCGATGAACGATTCACAATGATTCTACGGTGAATGACGCCATTTTACGACGAGAGATTAGAGGGGTTGATGGCTCTCCAAACGGTGGTGGTAGAGGCAGTTATGGAGATTAGATTACGATAAATTCGACGAAATGAGTGACGGTAAACTTAGGGATTTAGGGGGTTTAATTTACGGATTAGGTTTGGCTTTTGATTACTGATGGATGATGGTTTTTGGTATTATAAACCGATCCAAATAAGCACATAATATATTTTCTTATTTTAATTATCAACAATGCCTTAGCTTAGATGGCTAAGGCACTGGTGGCTATAACCCTAAGGTTATGGGTTCAAACCTTTCAGACACCTCTATTTTTTAATTCATTGATTAATATATCATTTGATTAAAAATTAGGGGCATGACAACTCTCCCCCTAAAGATAATTTTGTCCTCAAAATTTACCTGAATTAAACAGATGTGGGAACTAAGTTTTCATTGATTCCTCTGTCACTCAGTAGCTTCTACGGGACCACAGTTACTCCACTAAACTTTTACCATCAGTATATGCTTGCTCCTCAGCACTCCCTCCTCTTGATCCAAAATATGTATAGGCTCCTCATCATAAGATAAATCCATCTTCAACTCAATATCCTCTATCTGAATAATATGTCGAGGGTCTAGACGATAGAGCCTCTACATGGACACATAAAAGACATCATGAATA